AAAAGGGGGGGGGGGGGCCAGAGTGCCGCCCCTTGGAAAGTGCCGCCCCAAGTACATGCTTGGAGCGCTGGTGCCTAGAGCCGGCCCTGGTGAACAAGCCTTTATGCCAGAGAACAACAAAACAGCCTCTCTCCAGCAAGCCACAAAAACTCCCTGCTCTTGTAATCTCCAGACTCGCAGACTAGTTCATTCTGGGCCTAATGTTAGACCAGGGGTAGGCAACCTATGGCACGGGTGCCGAAGGCGGCACGCGAGCTGATTTTCAGTGGCACTCACACTGCCTGGGTCCTGGCCACCCGTCCGGGGGGCTCTGCATTTTAATTTAATTTTAAATGAAGCTTCTTAAACATTTTAAAAGCCTTATTTACTTTACATACAACAATAGTTTAGTTATATATTATAGACTTATAGAAAGAGACCTTCTAAAAACGTTAAAATGTATTACTGGCGCGCGAAACCTTAAATTAGAGTGAATAAATGAAGACTCAGCACACCACTTCTGAAAGGTTGTCGACCCCTGTGTTAGACAGAGAGACAAAGATGAGTCCTGTCAAATTCCAAAGCTTTAAGGGAAAACAGATCCCTTTTGGGAAAGTGAATGCATCTCCTTCAGTCAATCTTTGCTTCCATTTCACTCTTGCAGTAATGAAGGAAATAATACCTCAATCTGCATCCCCAATGGACAGGAAAAGACTGAGAGACACAATAAACCAAGACAAATGACCACTCCGGAGCCTGCAGGACTGTGAAAACGGTCAGGCAAAACTGAGCTGTTGCCTTGCTGACGACCACTTTATGCAGGAGAGAAAGATGATTGGATGAATTTTAACTGTGTTTGAAGGATGCTCCCTTAGCATATTTTTCAAATTTCAGAGGAAGGGTAATATGAAAAACATATAGCAGTTCTGAAGACTTTAATTTTAAACATCAAAATTCATACCACATGGTGCTTTAGGGCTGACTGTACGTCAGTGGCAATATGAGAATTTTTTTTAAAAAGGTGCCTGATTGCTACTAGCAATAAAACCTAAGTGTATGGTTTGAGTGAAAGTGAGATTGTATGTGGGCATCAGGGGACATATAAATCTAAGCTGGTGACCTGGGTCAACCGAGGCTGGATGAGAGGGAGAATTAATCCCTGATTCTGCAAAGCACTTCATCACGTACTTACCTTTAAGCATACTTAAGTGCCACTGAAGTCAATGTACGTGCTGAAGTGCTTTGGCTCCTGGGCCAGAATCATGTGAAAGCAGCATTATTAGAAGAGATTCTGGCATGTGTATTATTCTATATGAGCGAAGATCTGAATGAATGTAATACTTGAAGCATACGATTATATACCAAAATACAAACCTACCTTCTATAGCGGTGAGAGGTTCAGGAGCAATGTTCTGAGATGAGGGAGGACACCGTATTATTCATGCTGTCTAATCCAAATAGAGTTTAAGGGAACGGCGCCTGAGCTCCCAGATTGTCTGAATGGTTGAGGTTTTCCCTACAACAATCCCAGTACCACCTTCACTCTTACCCTAGTCCGTGATATGCCCAATCCCACACTCTGATTTCTGGGTGGACCCATTCTCAAGGAACTTTCTCCCATTGCAATTTTCCCTCACAGGCCTGCTGACAGGGGGGGGGGGGGGCAAAGGGGGCAATTGCCCAGGGGCCTGGGCAATGAAAAGAGCCAGAGGGCCCCTGGTTGCCGCTGCTGGCAGCACAGTGGGGCTTAGGCAGGCTTCCTGCCCGCCCTCGCTCCGTGCTGCTCCGACTCCGCAGCTTCCATTGGCTGGGAACTGTGGGGGAGGAGAGGTGGGGAGATTAGGAGCTGGGATAGGCGGGGCAGTGGAGGGGGGAGGATAAGAATTGGAGAACAGAAATGGGTGGGAACTGGGGACAGGGCGGCCGCAGTGAGGGTTTGGTGATAGATTAAGAAGGGAAAGGACAAGGCGGGAGCGAGGGCAGGGATGGAGTAGATGGCGGAGACGCAGGCAGGAGCTGGAGATGGGAGAGATGGGTAAAAGCTGGAGGAGGTGGGACAGCAGCTGGGAAGGAGGGGTAAATGCTGGGACAGGCAATAGGAACAGAATGACAGAAGGGGTTATAAACACTGCAGCACACTGAACCAAGGATTATTGGCTCTGAACATTCCTTTGCAATCTAGCAACCAGCTGGGTTCAGTGTGTGTCTCATCCCCCTCTGGTGGCTGACCTACATGATAGATAACAGCCTTCTAGTGCTACCAGTTAGACTGTTAGGTCATGTAGGAATGTGCTGTGGCTCTAAAGATCCCAACTCTGCTGATCACCCAGGAGTTACTATATTTCCACATGATGGAAATTATGTTTGTTTGCTTTTTAAAAGACAGGATATTACACCCCAAAAAACTACCTTAAAAAAGTTACAGTTGCAAACTCAAGCACTCAGAATTTAGGAAATGCTAGAACTATGTTTGCCTGTGCAGCCGTACTTTGGCTTCCTTGTGTATATGCATTAGGATACAGTCTTTAATTACATGAGCCCATGCTATTTTCCCACTGGGCTCTACACCCTGCATCTGTACATAATATGATTGTAGTTTATATTTTTACCAATAAGGGCAAAACAAATAACTAGAGGGCTTGATCCTGCAATCCTTTACTCACATAACAATACTATCATTATATAGCATTTTTCAGCAGTAGATCTCAAAGCAGGCCCGTATCATTATCTCCCTTTGACTGAGGCACAGAGAGGAAAAGTGACTTGCTCAAATTCACCCAGCAGGCCAGAGCCAGCAGTTAGAAACCAAGCTACCCTGAGTCTTAAGACTGGGCTCTAACCACTACTAGGCCATACTGATAGCACATTAGAACCTCAGCATTACAAACACCTCAGGAACGGAGGTTGGTTGTAACTCTGGACAAAACATTGTGGTGGTTCTTTCAAAAGTTTACAACTGAACATTGAATTAATACAGCTTTGAAACTTTACTGTGAAGAAGAAACGTGTTGCTTTCCCTTTTTTAAAGTAGTTTACCTTTAAAACAGCACTGTACTGTATTTGCTTTGTGTGTGTGTGTGTGTGTCTCTCTGCTGCTGCCTGCTTGTGTACTTCTGGTTCCAAATGAGGTGTGTGATTGACCAGTCAGTTTGTAAGTCTGACTCTGAGGTTCTACTGTACTTAAGTATATGAAGAACACAGCACAGTTTACTTCTGGTAGTAAGTATTTTGCTATTTCCCTTAATCTTTTCCACTTTTTACTGGATAATGCTGTGCCTCTTAACCTCAAATAGTCGACACAAGGGCTTGGCACGTCTGTCCAGCAGTGCTCATTTGTATGAATAATTTTTACCCATGTGTGTAGGCCCTTCAGAAGCATTTCTTGTGTGAGAAAAGCAAGCCCTAGAGACATGCAAAGAAACCCGTACAGGTACCACGTGTCCATGCTGACCGGACTGAGGTTGCCAACATAGAGGGTTACAATAGAAAAAACAGATGATGTTGGTTTATTTGTATTTCTTTTTCAAATAATCTAAAACTCAGGCGATCGGGTGGCTGCCCCCTGCCCTGCAGCAGCTGCCACGTTTAGGATGACCAGACAGCAAATGTGAAAAATCGGGACAGGGGGTGGGGAGGTAATAGGAGCCTATATAAGAAAGAGACCCTAAAATCGGGACTGCCCCTATAAAATCGGGACATCTGGTCACCCTAGCTACGTTTTCTCCAGCGGTATCAGCTCTGCTGGGGAGCACGTTTAGAAACGGCATGTCAACCCCCCTCCCAGGGCTGATCTGTTGCCCATGTTTGTGAGCCGTGGGCGGAGCAGCCGCTGCTGAATACTACACGTCCCAGGCTGCTCTAGGGAGGGTGGGGAAGGTCCCGCCCCCCGAGACAAAAGCTTTAGGGGAGGTGCGTTTTACTCAGCAAGAGAAAGTGGAAGTAAGCGGGGAGGGGTGGCTGGGCGCAGGGGCGAAGCGAGGGGGGCTCGGAGGCGCTTTCAGCGCAGGAAGCCGCTTGCGCGCCCTGCGCCTTGGAGAGGTGGGGGCGCTGCGCCCTAGCGCACGGGCCCCTCCCCAGCTCAGGCAGCCGGGCCCCGGGGTGGTATCCGGTGCCGCCGCCGCTGCTGGCGGGAGGGAGAAGCCGCTCAGTCCCCGGGGCCGTCTCAGCGCCCTGGAGCCGAGCCGGTGGGTGGGGAGCCTGGCTATGGTGCCCGGCTCCCGGCTGCAGCGCCCGGGGAGAGCCTAGCGGCGGCGCCCCGGGAGGCGAAGGAGAGCCCCCAGCGCGGGGCGGCGATGCGGCTGAGAGCTGCGCGCCGGTGACCGTGGTGGGGCGGGTGGGGGGGAGGTGGGAAGCTTGTGGCCGGCCCTGGCGCTGCTCCGCCCGCCGCAGTGCTTCCCTGCAGGGGCTTGTCCCATCCGGCTGCCGGAATCCCTGAGCCTCAGCCGCCGCCTCGCAATGTTTCGCTGGGGCATTAATCGCTTTTTTAGAACAACTCTTCCCCCCCCCCCCCCCCCCCATGTTCTCTGGCTGGTGCTCGCTGTTCAGAGGCGCAGCGGGGGCAGGACCCGCTTCTGGGGCGCCTGCCCCCCAATCCCCGGGCCCAGTGCAGTGATGGGAAGGGACCTGGCAGCTCAGGGGCTGATCGCCAGCCCCCCAGTGGAATGAAATGAAGGCACTGGGCATTGCCCCAGATTAGGGGCTGATCACATGTCTCCTCCGGCCCCCCAAATGCGGTCCCGCCAAGGGACAGTGCCTGGTCTCAGCCCAGGAGCTGAGAGCCCCTCCAGATGCACCAACCTGCAGGATGGAAAAAACAACAAAAACCAGGCTGCTTTCCCCTCCTCCTAAATGCTGATTGTAACCTACCAGGCTAGATGGGATTGGCAGGGGAGTAATTCCTCCTGACCCTGCAGAAATAATCATCTGTCTTTTGATTGTCTGTGCCATCGCTTTCTTTTGTTCCCCCTGCCAGAAGCACATGGTCACCTCCAGTGGTCACTGATACTGAATACAAAGGCTTAATAAGGGGACTTTTCTGCATCTCTTTGAGGCTATGCCTGCAGGTATCACGGGGCTAATGGGAGTAGGAACCAAGGCAACTGCATAATGAAGTGGGTTGTAGCCTACGAAAGCTTATGCTACAATAAATTTGTTAGTCTCTAAGGTGCCACAAGTACTCCTGTTCTTTTTGCATAATGAATGCACATGCTGTACATCCACTTTACAGGGCAGGCAAAGGACCCGAAGGTGTCCGGAATGGGAAACCTGTCTTAAGCAACCTCCCAACAAACCAGCAAAAATCGGTTGCCTGGTAGTGGAGGAATTTAAAGATCAAAGAAAATTGTGCCAGGAACCTTGGAGATAATTTACATGGTCATGTAAAACAGGGATTTTAAGCTTTTTTTTCAATGTTTATTAAGTTTTTATCAATGTATATTTTTACGGTGGCGGGAAATTAAGCGTGGGTGTCAGACAGTAATGTATTGACAGTTGACGTTGATATTCAAAAAGTTAAAGCCTTAACTTGGTGTCTGAATCTGAACAATTGTCACTACTAAGTTTTGACAGACCCCGTCTCATCTGTAAGAGCAGGTAGCTACTGATTAATCTCAAGAGCATGGATATACAGCTTAATTTAAAGCAGTTTGTAAAGGTGCCAACCAATAGGTCTGGTAAGTATGTCTTGTCTCCAAATACACCTCTACCCCGATATAACGCTGTCCTTGGGAGCCAAAAAATCGTAACGCGTTATAGGTGAAACCGCGTTATATCAAATTTGCTTTGATCCGCTGGAGCACAAAGCCCTGCCCCCCTGGAGCGCTGCTTTACCGCGTTATATCCGAATTCGTGTTATATTGGGTCGTGTTATATCGGGGTAGAGGTGTAGTATGTTAAAGACCTTCACAGTACCATTGAAACTGCTTTGAGATTTTCATTGTGACCTCATTGCTTGGGCTGAATTTTGTAATTGCTCATCTTTCCTGTGCAGCAGTAATTGTGTGGAGCCCAGAGTCTTAGCATTATTGCAGTAGACTGTGTCCATTTATTTAGGAGTGTAATTTCTAGCACAGGGCAGAGCTAACAGAACCGATTGGGATTACATCGGGGTTTATATTCTTATACCCGTGTATTGTAGGACAACTGAAGAACTTCTGGAGGCCAAATTATACCTCTCAGCTATAGGTACTTGGTTAGTAGTATAAAATTGTTCCAAAGTTGTTGCTATTGTATCACTGGACTTAATTACGTTTGAGAGAGAATTGAGGGCTATATTTGAGGCATTGGTTTGACAAAGGTTTTGACTGAAGTGTGGCCATAACGCAGCAGCTCTAAAAACAATAATGGCTAGTCTGCACATTTTAGTGGTCTATTTTAAATTTATGCCTGAGACATTGGGTTAACTTCATTGCGCAATAGAAAATACGGTTAGTGGTCACCTTTGACATTTCAAAACTGCGGAGACACAGCTGTCGGATCTAGTTGAAATGCACTGAAATACGTATCCCAGACTTTGACTTGAATTTAACTCAGTCTTGTGCCAAATCTAGGAATACTTCTCTGCTGGCTCAACGCTTTTTTTTGTTTGTCATATCAAGAAAACGTCTGCTGGAAGAAGTATCCCATCTGCAGCAGCTGAATTCAACTCAGGGGGCTTTTTATGTAATTCGTTAGCCCTTATGGAATATTCAGGCCAGGTATGATGATTTCTTTTTTTTCTTTTTCGGTGGTTGCTTGAGACTACAGTTCTGGAGTGAAAAGGCTTCTTTCAAGAACTGGCAGACTCGACAGTTTCTGTATGAGTGTTGGAGTTGTGTTCAGGCAGACTAGCCATTGTTGTTTTTCAGAGCGGCTGTGTTATGGGCACACTTTAGCCAAACCAGTGCCTCAAATATAGCCCATAATATATATATATATAGCCCTCTCTCTCAAACGAATTAAGTCCAGTGATTCAATAGCAACAACTTTGGAACAATTTTATACTACTAACCAAGTAACCTATAGCTGAGAGGTTTAATTTGGCCTCCAGAAGTTCTTCAGTTTACAATACATGTCTATAAAAATATAAACCCCGATGTAATCCCAGCGGGTTCTGGTAGCTCTGCCCTGTGCTAGAAATTACACTCCTAAATAAATGGACACAGTCTATTGCAATAATGCTAAGACTCTCGGGGCTCCACACAGTTACTGCTGCACGGGATCTATTCCTGCATTGTCACTGGAGGCTGACTTTTACATATTTGTCTTGTTTGTAGTTTATACCAAATAAATATTGTACTGCACTATTGAGCATTCTTTCGCTCCTCTGTGACCCAAATAAAAAAATCAGAATGTCTAGTTTACTGACAACATTAAAGGTTAAAAAAAAACCAACCTCCTCCTTCCCCCCCCCCCTCGTATGCCCCCCCACACCACCTTTAAAATACACTCTGTGTGATATCTTCCAGGGATACTGAGATTCCCCATCCGTAAGGACGGACTGTAATCTCTCCGACAGAGTGAATTTTTCATGAGTGCAACGTGTTAAATTTTTATAAGACGATCTTAGCATGGTCTTGTTTTTAGTGCTTGGATTTAGGCAGTGTTAGCCGCAGCACTGGTGGATGCCTCAGGCTGGACTGCAACCTCCAGCCTGAAATGACTGGAAGCTTCCTCTAAAGCTCAAGGGGGGAAAAGAATGATTGAAAATCCTGGAATGGAATTTTCTCTGATCTGCTTGGCTTGGGGCTCAGAAACGTGCCGGGTACCTACCAGCTGGAAGTTAAACCTACTAGCTAGAGGCAAGTGTGAAAGATAAAGGTAGGAGAGGCTCCACCAGGGGCAGTGCAGTGGTGAGGCACCAGGTGTTGGGAAGGGTCTGGAGGCTGGAGTTTCTGCCAGGGACATCTTCCTGGCACTGATTGTGGGGACCTTCTCCATGTGCTGAATCAGCTTCTGGCTAGAAGGTGTGAGACAAATTTTAAAGCTCTACCACTACCCCCAGGTGCTGAAAGGATGAAGGTGCTTTCTCTCTTCTCTCCCAGTCTTCCCCACAGAGAAGGGGTTGAGAGTGGAGACTAGCTTCTTGGCTGCTGCTTTGCTGGCTGGGGGGTAGGGAGGTGGTGGTGGTTTGCCATTCTGTCTCCCAGCCTTCTTTCCTTTTTGGGTTATCCTATACTATGAGTAATTCCTGTATTTGCTTCTGCTACTGCTTTCAGTTTTGCCAAGTGGCATGAAACTGATTCTCTTGGTTCCCAGGGTTCCGAATAGCAGCAGTGCAACTGGCTGGAGTCTTGCTAGTTTACTCTGCTTGGCTAAGCAATGAGCAGCAGCAGAGGCACTGGAACTGTCTGTGCAGGCTCAGGAAGGCAGCATGGTCATAAGAGAGAGAGACATTGGAAAATAAAAGCCTTGGGCTGCATTGTTCTCTTGAGGTTCTGGCTGCAACTGCAGCCAGATGGAGTCCCTATTAAGGAGTGAGGAAGGTTTCCAGAGCTGGTGTGGAGGTGCAGGGCTTCTGTCTAGGTGTGCCTAGTGCCTCAGGGATCCCAGGAAGTCTACTAGATTTGGAGGCAGTTCCTATAGCCTATTCCTGGAGGGAGCAACATGTGGGGATCTCTGCAAAGAGATCTTCAGAGAGACGCCTCTTCCGGTGCCCCATCCTGTGGGTTCTGGAAACGTTGGTCTTTCAAGAGACTTGCACGTCATGGCAGCAGCACTGCGGAAAAATTCAGTACCACTATTCAAATAGGAGGAAGATTGTCTGACATGAGGTTAAAGCTACTCTGACAGATGCTGTCGCTTCTCAACTAGATGGTTTCTGCCAGAGGCTCATAAATGTCAATGAATATTAAAACCCCATTTTCACATGCATCTCACAGCTTATATATATAATAAGTGTTTCTTCTCTTATCAACATTGAGATTATTGAACATTGAGATAATTGAATTTGGCTCAGTTTTTTTCCTGTAGGTCAGGGGTTCTCAAACTGGGGGTCGGGACCCCTCAGGGGGTCGTGAGGTTATTACATGGGGGGGGTCGCGAGCTGTCAGCCTCCATCCCAAACCCCGCTTTGCCTCCAGCATTTATAATGGTGTTAAATATATAAAAAAGTGTTTTTAATGTATAAGGGGGGTCGCACTCAGAGGCTTGCTGTATGAAAGGGGTCACCAGTACAAAAGTCTGAGAACCCCTGCTGTAGATGTATTCTTATGTAAAGTTAAGAATGTTAGGAAATTAACTACCAGTAGTGGGAGAGGGTACAGTCAGAATACGTAGTTTATTTTGGAGCTGTTCCACTACTCTGTCTACATATAAGTAGAACATTTCAGGATTCTGATCTTAATTTCATAAGTGTAAATTTAAAGTGATTTTGCTGAAGTCAATGACATCACCTTTGTTAGTAAGATCAGAATTGGGCCCAGTGCACGGAGGAATCAGATGCACACAGCTGTTAATCTACTTTAAGGGATACAGACAGCTTGAAATATAATCAGTTTTAAAAA